TCTGTCTGATTCCAAAGCCTGTATTCTTTTTTTTTTCTTTTTGGGGGTGAGATATTTATATAAAGCGTGTAAAGAATTAGTTAACAAGTACGCATCACCCAGCTTAATAAATAAAACATTGCCAATCAGTTGAACCCCCCCCACCCCATTGCGTTTCCCTCTCTTTCCCTCAAAAGTAACCACCCACTTTCCTGAATTTCAAATCTGTGCTCTGAGCCACTAAGCTCCACTCAGTGCATTAAGCACTCAGAGCATTTGCTAGGAGCTGGAGATTCAACAGTGAACAAGAAAGACATGTTCTCTGCCCTTGTGGAGTTTCCTGTGGGTAAAAGTGAAATACTAGGCCCTTAGTCTTTCTGGAGATACTCAGTAGCTGGTAGAAAATGTCAGGTTTTTAACCAAGGAGGCCTAGGAAATCCTCAGGAGATCACTGATAACATGCTGGAAGGTTGCCTAGATATCTTTGCTGATGATTCATTTTTTTCCTCCTAGAGAGCATAGGTTGAAGTATAGGTTTCTTTTATGAGCTTTTTGATTTCCTGCTATGTTTAGAGACTTCTGGGAGAAGGAAATATTCCCTTCTCTTCCTGCCCTTCCCTGTGTCCCCTTCCCTTTTTTACACAGAGTGATTGAACATAGCACATGATCCATACCTCGTCTATTGCTATTTTATCTACCTTGTTTTATACATTTTCCATAACATCCCCACATAGTATCTAAGACCAAACTTCATACGTAGAAGACAGTCGGGTAAATACTTATCAAATGAACTCAATAGGAGTCTGCACAGGAAAGATGGGTCATTAGAAGCAGAAGTTAACACTCTCTGTGTGTTTTTCTAATATTTTTCCTGGTTTGGTCCAGGCAGGGGATGTCTGTGTCTGAGTGGAACTGTACTCTTGGATAGAGTGTCTGTTACAGTGTTTCTCCATTTTTTTGAGCCATAACTTCTTTTTATAAATACAAAACTGACATGCCCTCTGCATTCTGACAATTTTCTAACGCTGATTAGGTGTCTTACAATTCAGTTTTGACCCTGGGTTAGCATCAGGTCCCGCAAGTTAAAGGGCAAGGTCCTCACGAAGATTACTACTTTTACTTTCTAGACATCAGCTGCAAAGTGGGGTCCCCAGGCTACCCACACTTCTTCCTGGCTAACTACAAATTAAGGGTGTCCCACAACACCTTAGGTTCAGTAATTCACTAAAATGATTCACAGAACTCAGGAAAGTGCTGTACTTATGATTACACAAATGAACAGCCAGATGAAGAGACACATAGGGCAAGGTCTCTAAGGGTTCTGAGCTCAGGAGCTTCTGTTTCTGTGGAGTCAAGGTGCACCACCTTCCTGGTACATCGATACGTTCACCAACCAGGAAGTTCCCCTGAGCTTTGATGTCCCAAGATTTCATATAGGTTTCATTAGATGGACACAGTTGATTAAGTCATTGGCCATATGATTACACTTAATCTCTAGCAACCCAACCCCCACCTCCCCAGAGGTTTTTGAGTGGGTCTGAAAGTTCCAACCCCCTAATCACATGGTGGTTTTTTCTGGCAACCAACCCCGAATCTGAAGCTGTCTAGGCTCTCCACTCCTAATGAAGGTGTTATTAGGATAAACTGAAGTTTGGCTGAAATAGGACATAACAAAGGACACTCCCTTCACTCAGGAAATTCCAAGGGATTTTTGAAACTCTGTGCCAGAAACTGGGCATGAAGACCAGATATATTCTTTATTACATCACACCTTCTTTTAATATTTGAAATTTCAACATTAACTATTTTTTACTAAAAAGAAATTGAGCAAAGTAATTTTAGGATTTTGTTGATTGCCTCAGCAGCTACCTACTATCCAAAGCTCTTCAGTTGCTGTCAAGAAAAGCTTTGAATGGGAGAGTTCCAGAAGCTGCAAGAGGCGGGCTAATTTCCCAAATGGCAGTGCTGCTGTGCTTGGGCAAGGTGAACTCAAGTCATGTAGTTCCGCCTGGTTGATGTGCTAGAGGTTCTTCTCCCTTTCATATAAAATTAGAAAATTCTATTCATGGTCCAAGTGTCTTCAAATATCTGGTATTGTGTTAATGCAGACTCATACGTATTAAGTATGTACCTTATATTCTTAACAGTTTGTTGTAAGTTACATGACGCGGGAGTGGTTCAGAGGAGGGCGAAGGCTGTAGTAGCCCTGGGATGTCTTTAGGAATGAGGTAGGGTTTCAGCTGTGCTTGAGAGATGGTAAATATTTGGTAAAGTAGACGGGAGCGAGGGGATATTTTAGATGAAGAAAACCGTGTGTGGGGGCCAGGATTCATCATGGCTTGTTTGTGCTTATACAGAGCAGAATGGTCTTACTTGAGCAAATTGTGTATGTGGGGAGTAGTGGGAAAGATGAACTGGGGTTAAATTTGTATGATTTTCAAAGGCCAGTGGAATAGTTTCACTTTGATATGGTGTAAGTAGTTGAGAGTCAAGGATGGCTTTTGATCAGTTAAGTTAGGAAATGAAAAGAATGTGTAAAAAGATGGACTAGCATTTGTGTTGCTGAAGGTTAGTGGGAAGGAGAGACATTGTCGCCTTTCTGCTGTGATGCACTGAGGACACAACACTTAAGGGGTATTCCCACCAAAAATGCAAAACTTGAAATTAGTCGTGGGATAACATCATAGAAGCCCAGTTGAGAGAGATTTTACAAAATAAAAGGCTTGTATTCTTCAAAAATATTAAAGTGAAAGATAAATATTGAAGAATGCTTCAGATTAAAGGAGACTAAAGAACATGACAGCTAAATGCAACATTTGACCCTGGACAGAAAAAAAAAGATTTTTCTTTTCTATGAAGAATAATAGTGGGACAATTGGTGAGATGTGAAATAACGTCTGTAGATTACATAATTGTGTTGTTTTGGTGTTAATTTCCTGATCTTGACAATGCACTGTGGTTATGTAAGAGAATGATCTTGTGTCTAGGAAAAGCATACTAGCGTGCTTAAGGGTAAAGGGACATCTGTCTGCAACTTACTTTCAAGTGATTTTTAAAAATTATATATGTATGTACATATAGAGAGAATAATAATGCAAATGTGGTGAAGTATTAACATGTGGGGAATTTTGCAAAAAGATAGACATAACTCCCTTGTATCATTTTTGGAATTTTTCTCAAAGTCTAAAATTTTCTGAAAATAAATTTTTAAAAAATTGAGCCAAAGCTTCTGGATTAGTCACCAATGAATCAAGGGCTATTTTAATTAACTGACGTAGTTGTGTTTGCAATGCTTGCTGACTTTTGGGGGTCACCATTCCTTTTCTGTATGACTAACTTGTGGTACCAATATTTTTTAAAGTATCGCATAAGAAAGAGAAAGAACACTGCTTAGCCATCAGGAGATGGGCTATTCTCTTAGGTCTACAGCTACTCCTTGAGCGAGGCCTCGAGATAATTGCTGTCTGGGTGCCGGGCTCCTCACCTGAAATTTTTGTGGGGAGCTGGGTAAACTGATACTGATAACCAGGTTCTAGCAGTTCTGTGATGATGGGCCCTGGGTTCACTGGCCCAGAGAGTTGGTATGTTACTGTCAGCCACTCTTCCCACACATGTAGATTGAAGAGGTGGTGGGCAAAGCTGGAACCTGGGAACCATCTGATCTGCCCTGCAGCAGCAACACTTGTTTGTTTCCAGCACACCCTCAATGCTGTGCTGTGCTTTCCTTTCCAGCCATTCATTATTTTTCCAGAGACTTGGCTGGTGTTTTAGTCACCCTTTCTTTTAGGCATTTAGAAAAGGAATGTGACTTTTCTTAACTTTAGCATCTTCCGATTCTTCTATATTTAGACTTGACTTCTGGAAACTGTAATTTGCTGTTATGGCAGAGATTAATAGGCAGGTGGACTGCTTTCCCCTAGAATCCCAGAAGGATTTAGTTGATAAGTGTTGACTGTCTAACAGTAGTAATTACACGGTCAGAAAGTGATGGGAGTGGAAGTCAATTTTCAGAAAGAAAATTAAGTTTGTGCATTAAAAATGTTGCTAGGTTAAAAAAATGTAACAAGAAATTTTATTTGCTCTCACTACCCCTTAAATATGATATCCTTAAAAAAAAAGAATGTAAAACTGTACAGAATTAGACACTCACCTTCTATTGGTGAGGATGTAAAATTGAAGGTAATTTAACAATACTTATTAAAAACAGAAAAGATCATGCATGTTAACTTGAGTTCCACTTTTAGGAATTTATCCTGTAGAAATCCTCATTGCAGCATTGTTTATGAAAGTGAAAACTTGAACACTATTAATTGTTAGGAGATTACGTTAATAAATTATGACACATCATACAATGGATTCTTACACAGGCATCAAAAAATAATGTAGGAAGCTTTTAAAATGTTAATATAAAGTGCATTTATTATTGCTATTTTTAAAAACTGTGATAAAATATATATAACATTATTTAACATTTTAACCTTGTGTAAGTGTACAGTTCAGGGGCATTGAATATGTTCACAGTGTTGTATAACCGTTACCGCTTTCTACATCTTAAACTATTACTTCATCCCCAGCAAAAACTCTCTATCTACAAAATAATAACTTCCCTTCCCCTCTCCCAAGAGATTTTTATATATTGCCATGGAGTACTGCCCAAGTACATAATTAAGTGATAAAGGAGGATTGCAAATAGTAATAAATACTGTTTCTACTGTGGTGAATTATTATAATAGTTAATATAATATAAATGTAGGAAAATCTGGGATACTACATATATTAAATGGTTAATGGGAGACATTGTGGGAGTTTTTTAATATTAAATATTTTGGTAATTTTTAAATTTAAAACAATGTTTTAAATGTACAACTTTTCTAAGCAGAAATAGAGATATAATTTAAGTATTGTACTACAACCTGGTAATTTAGATGCCTCTGCTTTTAACTAACAAATAACACACTTTCCTGTATGGTTGCTAAACTTGAGCTTATACTGTATTAAAGTAATCCTTTTTCTTTTCACAGCTAGAGTTGGGAAGACGTCACTGATTATGTCTCTGGTCAGTGAAGAATTCCCAGAAGAGGTGAGCGTTTTTATTTCTTTCCTATATTTTAAACATTCTAAATTTGATCAAAATTGAGTTAAAATAAAATACATTCTACCCTTTTTTTTGCATGTGTTTCCTTTCTGACAGTTATGACTTTTAAAAAGGCTCATACAAGGCACCTCTGAAATACAGTATAGGAGAAAGAATCAAACTAGTTCTGAGTTCACCTAAGTCCTCTGTGTTTCCTACTTTTGATCTTGGCCAGGACATTTGTCATCTCTGTGCCTTAGTTGTCTCACCTGTAAAATAGGAGCTGAAGGGGATATTAGAAATAAAAATGAAATGTTACTCATAAATAACATTCCCAAAATAAGTTGCCAAAATAGAGATCAGATTAGTATCCCTTTAGGTGAAGTAAGGGTGAAAGATCTGGATGCCTGCCTGCCTGCCTGCCTTCCATCTGACCCTCCCCAGTCTTTGAGGCATTAGAAACACTAGGACTCTGACACATATATTTGAAAACCTCTGATAATACCCATCAGCATCATTTTACAAATAAAAAACCTAGTTCAATCCACCTTTGCCTACCTCAAAGGATTGTTGTGGGTCTCAAGTGAGATACACCTAGTGATACTAGAGTGCCACCAAAAGTAAGGTGGTTTTACTATTGCTGATAATATATTTATTTACATTTTGGAAGTTCCAGTATGAGGGACTGCTGGCTAATGCCTTATATAAAGTTAAGATATTGTTACAAAGAATGGGATCAATGCAAAAGGGATGGAAATTATTTCTTTTTATCCTTTCTTCACATGGTAGGTATTGTTAATGCCACAATTTGCATTTATCATTTCTGTACTCTAATTTAATTAGGAATATGTACAATTTCATTGTTCAGATAGGAATTTGATGAATTTTGTGGTTATTTCAAGAACAACTGCCACATGATCATTCATTGTTTCTTTTGCTTTTTTTCTTTCTTAAATAAGATAGTTAAATAAGTAATAACAATTTGTAAAATGGCGTGTATTTTCTTGTGTGGTTTATGGCATCAGAAACATGAATTATGATCACTCAGGGTATAATACCTAAAAGTTTTCTAGAATAGTTTAACTTAGTTTAGAATTGTCTTTTTAGCATAGTCCTCATGGGTGTGGATAAGGAGTTTTTAACTGAAAGTAAAAAATCATGCAGTCTTTCTAAATAATGGCGTCATTAAGCATAAGGCTTATGTAGCCAATCACTTATTGTCTAGAAGAAATGAATTTTGATAACTTATTATTTTATTTGAGGATTGTTTTAGATTAACATAGGTCTTCATTTGTAGAGTATTTTAAACCTTCAGCAAATAGAATGAAAACTACATTTTGAAAATCTAATTTTAAAACACCAAATTAATAAAAGTATTGTTTTAGGAGCAGAAGTATCCTTAATATGTCCTGTGCCCATACAGGCATAAATGTGCATTTTTTTTTAAAAAAGTGTTTTGTCATATAGCTGTAATATATATATTTGTATCTATGGTAAAGCATAAAATATGCAGTTAAAAAGTACAATAAATAGCTATAAAGGTGAGTATGTATGAAAGGGGCTGATACGTGGATACATTTATGTAATCTATTAACAAGTTTGATTGATAACATTCAGAGGCGTTTCCTTTTCTTTATTTGTTTGCACATGAAGGTTCCTCCCCGGGCAGAAGAAATCACCATTCCAGCTGATGTCACCCCTGAGAGAGTCCCCACACACATCGTAGATTACTCAGGTGATGAACGTCTTCTTGTAGGTGAAGCTGTGGAGTTAATTTGATAGTCCTCAAAAAAAGGTGCTTTCTGAGCTTTAAAAAATATTTTAGGAGGGGTAGTCCTTTTTCTCTGGCAGTAAATGATCATTTACTATTCCTGTCTCATTTATGTCTTCCTGCCAGCCCCCACCCCACACCCCACATAAAGCCTCCATCTTGCAGTTGTCTGTCCCTAATTCACTGCGTTGGGTTCTGTGATAATGAAAAGAAAGGAAGGAGGGACGGTAAATGACCAGATAAATCATACCCTCCTTGAATTAGCATGTGTGCAGAGAGAAGTTCTAAGGCAATTTTGTTACCAAGCAGTCAGGCATGCTCTGATGATGTAAAAAGAGTTTTCATTTGAAAATTTGTTGAGGTCTAAATTTGTTGTTTAATTTGTCAGACTTTGTCAGAAAAAACCATTTAAAACAGTTATCAACTTACTTACATTATGTGATAATATAAGCACATCTATATTGCATTAATTAATTAAATTAATTAATTAATGGAGGTACTGGGGCTTGAACCCAGCACCTCATACGTGCTAAGCATGTGCTCTACCACTGAGCTATACTCTCCCCCTATATTGCTCTTGATAATGTAAAATTTTTCTATACACTACTACTTAACTTTTTAATCATCAGATTATTTTGCTTTGTTCTGAGACTTCTTTTGAAAAAACAAAAAGGATCAGTTGTAACAGCTGTACAACTCTGATGAGCAATGTTGATATGGGGGACACTATATGAAGGCAGAGGGTATATGGGAAATCTCTGTACCTTCCACTCAGTTTTGCCCTGAACCTAAAACTGCTCTAAAAAATAAAATCTACTTTTAAAAATAGGTGTAACTATGTTGGTAATACTTTGTTTTGCCTAGCTGGTATTCCATATATTCTAAAACAAAATGCTAGAACTGTGCAGTCTGATACTTGTGACTGTTGAACTCTTAAAATATGACTGGTCTAAATTGAAATGTGTTCCCAGTATTTAATGTAAGTGGATTTAGAAGACTTAGTATGAAAAAAAGGGTGTAAAGTGTCTCAATAATCTTTTATTGATTACATTTTGAAATTTTACTATTTTTGGCATTTTGGGTTAAATTAATTCATTTTACCTCTTACTTTTTGACTGTTTAAAGTGACTGCTGGAAAATTAAGAATTGCATGTGGCTTGTATTATAATTCCCTTGAACAACACTGTACTAGAGCTAAAGGGGTTTGGGTGCTTTCTGCAACAATACCCTCATAACTAGCTGTATTTATAGAATTATTCTTTTTCAGTATGTGTAGCCACATACTTAGATTCCACTTAAGTATCGGAATTGAAATCTTAACCCATTGATTTCTCAACATACGAGAAGATATTTAAAATACAGACAGTTATTTAGCATAAATTGAAATACCATTGTACTCATTTATGATACTAGTTTGTATGTCAGAAGTAACATGCATTTACATTTGAAATATGTGTAGTTTACTATACAGGAACCATACCACAATAAAGGTGTTTAAAAAAAAAGAAGTAACATGCATTTTGGGGGGAAACATTTAACGTAAGTTGACCTGAATTAGTGTGTCAGTAATCGCTTTGCTCTTCATCTGTTCGCCTCTCCATCCTAGCTGTGTATCATGCTCCTCCCCTGCGCCTGTAGGATTATAGGCACCTCCACCCAGTGGGACCAGTTCTAGCCAGAGATATGTGCTAGTGAGGGAATTCTTGACTCTTCATGATCATGCTCTGCTTTTGCTTCTGGGACCTGGTTGATTCCTCATGTCTGCTATCTAGATCTTAAGCTTGTGGTGCCCAGATCCTCACTTGGCTTTGTGACCCTGTGTGTATAGACTCTTTGTCTGGCTTGACTCTTCCACACCCAGTGTTCTAGCTTGGGTTTCTGATCTTTTTTACCAGACCCTTCTCCGCTTTGGATCAGATGCTGGCCTAGATTTATCACACAATGCCTTCTGCTCTCTGTGCCTGACTTATCTTCGTGTAGACTTGTCGTTCAGTGCCAGCCAGCTTATCATCATTCAGCTCTTTCCTTTCCCTTACTTGCCCTGTGTTTGCCACCTCGTCTGGCACTACACCATGTAAATGACACAAGGGATAAGGGACGTTTTGAGGGATGTTGGATGGGTGTTGCATGGATTTTAGCTTGGCCATTAGTTTTTATGAAAGTATTTAAAATATAAAAAAATTGTTTTGACTGTGTCATTTGTAGAAGCAGAACAGAGTGATGAACAACTTCATCAAGAAATCTCACAGGTGAGTTAAAAAAATAGTTGTAGCTTTTTCTCTGGGAAAATAGTGATGATTCTGTGAGTCTACCATTCCATTCTTTCACTTACCAAGAGGGCTTTTTTCAGTTCTTTGCTGTTACTGCTAACTTTGAGTATGTATTTTTGCTGTAAATCCTTAGAAACCTTTTCCTGTTAGAGTCATGGCTAGTAAGTTTTTCAGTTTTCGAATTTTCTTCTTCCTTTGACCCAAGTATGTTAACGAGTTGGTAATTAAATGCCACTGGGTACATTTGAATTATTTTAAGATACCATCAATTTGTTAATTTTTTTCTTGCAGGCTAATGTCATCTGCATAGTTTATGCTGTTAACAACAAGCACTCTATTGATAAGGTATGAATGTGACCTTTCTCCGCTATATTTTGTTGTATTTCAGTGGGGGCACTTTCAGAATTGATCCTCCATTTAGAATTTTGGGGGTCCAAGGGCAGACTATTTTTCAAAGAAGGTCTTCATCATGGGTTAGCTCTTGTTAATTTTTATTTTAGGTAACAAGTCGATGGATTCCTCTCATAAATGAAAGAACAGACAAAGACAGCAGGTATTTTTTTCTCTCAAACTCTGTACATTGAAATATTTCAAACTTAAAGAAAAGTTGCAAGAAATAATACAATTAACATCTGTAAACTATTCAGTTTGGCCCACCAGTTATTAACAGTTTGCCATATTTGCTTTATCTATAGATCTGTCTGTTTATACACACACACACACACACACACACACAAGCACATGCACACATATTACCTTTTTGGGGAGGAATTATTTGAGGCAGCACATATATTTGAGAGCAAAGTAGAAAATAGAGCTCTGATACTATAATGTGCCCTTTCTCTTGAGGTGCCCTTTTGAGGAGGTTTGGCATTCCCCCAGGTCATTGATTGCTCACCGTGTGATGTGTGCAAAGTGCAGGACTTGGAGGAAAGTGAGTGGCCTTTGAAATCTGGCTTGGCTGCTTATGAGCTTTAAGAGTTCAAAGAGCCTCATCTCCTCATCTGTAAGTGGAGATGAGGATAGTACTTCTCTTGGCTACATGTAGTTATTTTGGGAATCCAATGAAATAATGCATGTATAGGTGCTTTATAAGTTCTCTGAAACTTTTAGTCATCTTCATTTCTGAATTCACACAGGAAGATTTCTTTGAAAGTCTTTGGAAGATATATTTGTGGCAGGAAAAAAGCAAGAGAACACACATTCTGTATTCTTCTGATTAGAATGGTGGTTCTTTATGTTTGAGTTTTAAATCAAAATGGAAACAATGTTTTTTTGCAGTATCATTTAATTGAACATGTTATTTGTGAAGCATTTGAGTCTTTTAAAAATTTTTTATTGAGATATAATTGGCATATGACATTATATCAGTTTCAGGTGTACAACATCATGATTCAGTATTTGTATATGTAATGAAATGATCAGCGTAAGTCTAGTTACCATGTCACCACACAAAGTTAACTTTCAGATTTACTCCTTTGGCAACTTTCAAATATGTTCTATATTATTGTTGACTGTAGTCACCATGCTGTGCTTTATATCCCTGTGGCTTATTTATTTTCTGATTTAAAGTTTGTACCTCTTGACCCCCTTCACCTGTTTGACCCACTCCCCACCACCCACTCTCCTCTAGCAACCACCATTCTGTTTTCTGTATCTTTGATCTTTTTTTTCAGATTCCACATTCCAAATCATACAATATTAGTTTTACTCTATGACCTAACTTCACTTAGCATAATTCCCTCAAGGTCCATCCAGTTTGTTGCAAATGGCAAGATTTTATTCTTTTCTGTTTCTGAATAATATTCCATTGTGTGTGTGTGTGTGTGTATGTGTGTGTGTGTGTGCATGTGTAGCACATCTTCATCCATTTATCCATTGAAGAACACTAAGGTTGTTTCCATATCTTGATAATTGTAAATAATGCTATAGTGAACATGGATGGGGTGCATATATCTTTTCATGTTACTGTTTTCATTTTCTTCAGATATATGCCCAGAAGTGGAATTGCTGAAACATGGTAGTTCTGTTTTTAATTTTTTGAGGAACCTCCATGGTGTTTTCCATAGTGGCTGTACCAATTTACATTCCCACCAACAGTGCATGAGAGTGCCTAAAGGTTCCCTCTTCTCCACATCTTCACCAACACTTGTTATTTCTTATCTATTTGATAATAGCCATTCTAACAGATGTGAGATAATATCTCATTGCTGTTTTGATTTGCACTCTCTGATGATTAGTGTTGTTGAGCATCTTCTCAAGTGCCTGTTGGCCATCTGTATGACTTTTTTTGGGAAAAATCAGATCCTCTGCCTACTTTTAAATTGGATTCTTATTTCTTGCTATTGAATTTCATGAGTTCTTTGTATATTTTGGATATTAGCCTCTTACTGACATATGGTTTACAAATAATTTTCTCCTATTCCACTGGATTTTTCATTTCATTGATGACTTCCCTTGCTGTGCAGAAGGTTTTTAGTTTGATGTAGTTCCCCTGTTTGTTTCTGCTTTTGTTGCCAGATCCAAAAATTCATCACCCAGACTGATGTCAAGTAGCTTGTGCTTTTATTTTCTTCTAAGAGTTTCATGGTTTCAGGTCTTGCATTCAAGTCTTTAATCCACTTTGAGTTAGTTTTTGTGCATGATATAAGATAGTGGTCTACTTTCATTCTTTTGTGTGTGGCTGTCTACTTTTCCCAGGACCACTGTTGAAGAGACTGCCCTTTCCCTATTATATAGTCCTGCCTCCTTTGTCATAAATTAACTGACCATATTGTGTGGCTTTATTTCTGGGTTTTCTATTCTGTTCTATTGCTCTATGTGTTTGTTTTAATGCCAATACCATACCACTTGACTACTGTAGCTTTGTAATATAGTTTGAAATCAAGGAGCATGGTGTCTTCAGATTGGTTCTTCTTTCCCAAAATTGCTTTGGCTTTTCAGGATCTTTTGTGGTTCCATACAGATTTTAGGACTGTTTGTTCTATTTTTGTGGAAAAATGTCATTGGGATTTTGATAAGGATTGCATTGAATCTGAATATTGCTTTGAGTAATATGGACAATTTAACAATATTAATTCTTCCAGTCCTTGAGCACAGGCTATCTTTCTATTTCTTTGTGTCTTCTTTTGTCAGTAACTTACAGTTTTCAATGTACAAGTCTTTTCCCTCCTTGGTTAAATTTGTTAAGAATTTCATTTTTTTAGATGCAATTGTAAATAGGATTGCTTCTTAATTTCTCTGATAGTATTTTTTTTTTTAGTATATAGAAACACAACCAATTTTTGTGTGTTGGTTTTTACCGTACCACTTTACTGAATTGGTCTGTTCTGACAGTTTTTTGGTAAAGTCTTTAGGGTTTTTGATACATAAAATCATGCCCTCTGCAAATAGTGACAGATTTAGATAGCTTTTATTTCTGTTTCTTGCCTAATTGCTCTGGCAGGGACTTCCAATACTTTGCTGAATAAAAGTGGGGAGAGTGGGCATCCTTGTCTTGTTCCTTGAGTCTTTTAAAATATTAGGAAAACCAGACTAATATCTATGTATTGTACGCATCTGTCCCTTTACTTCATATTTTAGATTTTTTTTTTTTAGTTGGGCATCTTTGTGCTTTTAAACTTTAAAGATCTGTTTCAAGACAGATGAATGTGGTGACTGACCATCTCCCATATTTACTTTGTGACTGAGGTGGCATGTACATGCTGTATCTTGCAGCTCTGAGGGCTCCTCCGTATGCAGAAGTAGGGAGAGTAGTGTAAGGAATCCCTCTGTATCTGTCATCCAGCTTCAATAATGAACAAATCAGAGCCAGCCTTGTTTCATTTATTACCTCTCCCCTTGGGATCATTTTGAACAAATCAGACATCATCTCATACTGTGAATATTTCAGTATGTATCTCTGAAAGATAACAAATGACTGCATTTTAAAATGCCGGTCAGATCATGTCATTCCCCTGCTTATAACCCTTCTGTGGCGTCCCATTTTGCACTTAAAACACACACTCTCTGATGCAGCTGTACGTCGTGTTCTATCTGGCTTTTGCATCCCTCTCTGGCCCCATTTTGTACCTCTTCCCCTCTGAGCAGTACTCTCCAGCCACTCTGGCGTTTTTCTGTTCTTTGGACTCATGAGGGTGTTTTTTTCAATCTGGGGCATTTGCACATGCTATCTGTCCCTTTTTCCCGGTCAGCTCTTTCTTGGCTCTTTACATGGCAGTTTCCGTTTCATCCTTCATTTACTAGCTCAGGTGCGACCTTCTCAGAGAGATTTTTCCCGATTGCCATGTATAGGTAGCCCCTCCCATTACTTTATCTCATATCCCCCCGATTTATTTCCTTCACTGCACTTACAGAATTGGAACATATGTTGTTTATTTGCTTATTGTCTGTTACCTGATTTTCACTATCAGAATGAGCAGGGACCTTGTCCATCTTGTGTCATTAATGCTTAGAACAGTACCTGGCTTATACTAGGTACTCAGTAAATGTTTGTAGAGGATGAACATTCTCTCTAGGTGGCTTGAGCTGCCTACAGTAGAGGTTTCATATTGAGGAGATTAAATAAAGCTTATTAGTTAGAACAGGTTATGATGTACATTAAAACATAAATCCAATGTCTTTTGCCTTCCTTATTACAATGTGCCCTGTTTATTTCAGGCTGCCTTTGATATTAGTTGGGAACAAATCTGATCTGGTGGAATATAGTAGCATGGAGACCATCCTTCCTATTATGAACCAGTACACAGAAATAGAAACCTGTGTGGAGGTACGTCTTGTCATTTGATTTTGAGATTTACCGTTGGTGAATTCTCACTTAATTGAAGTTCAGGATAGGAGTTGGGGAAGATGAAGATGTGGGATGGAATAAATTTCCTGTTGTTTGTGAAGTAATGTAAACCAAATAAAACAGACCTTGATGTTGGCCTCTGAGCTCTTTGTAGACAATCATATTTTGATAATCCACTAAGAAAAATGCATTTTTCAGTTTCTTCAAGGAATCTTATAATTACCTTATATTGATAGTTTTAAAAATGTATTTAGCTCTCATAATTGCTTTCAGAATGAAAAATTTTAAACTTTCTTTTCAGTGTTCAGCAAAGAACCTGAAGAACATATCAGAGCTCTTTTATTATGCACAGAAAGCTGTTCTTCATCCGACAGGGCCGCTGTACTGCCCAGAGGAGAAAGAGGTAAACCCTCCATCCTGCCAGGCTGTATTAGTAGGGGCTGGAATGTGGAGGAGGAGGAGGAGGAGTGTGGAGGAGGAGGAGGTGGAGGAGGAGGAGGTGGTGGAGGAGGTGGAGGAGGAGGAATGGTGGAGGAGGTGGAGGAGGAGGAGG